TTCATAATAATTTCACTAGCATTGTGTTGACTGTTATTTGTCTTACCTAGCGGGTTGGGTTAGGTACCATCATGACTAGTCAAAATTTGGGTCGTGACACCAACCAACCAATGAGAGATCTAAATCTACTGCCATACAAGGCCTCGAACGATGCCATTATTCACACATGGTAGCCGTTGTTGTAAGCAAATTCTATGGGCGGGAAATGATCATCCTAACTACCTTTGGAGTCAAGAGCGCATGCTTTTAACATGTCCTCGAGCGTCTGAATAGTTCGCATGGCTTGTCCATCGGTTTGAGGATGAAAAATTGTGCTGTGAATTACCTGAGTACCCAGTCCATTATGTAATTTCTTCCAAAAGTTAGTCAAACCTTCGCAGTGTGCGAGGTAGACCTGCCATAAAATCCATGCTGATCATCTCCCACTTCCACATTGGAATTTCTATATTTTCTTCTAACTAGTTGGGCATTTGATGCTTGACTTTCACCTGTTGACAATTTGGACATCTAACCACAAAGTCGGATATGTTTTTCTTCATGTCATTCCACCAATAAACTTCTCGAGATCATGATAAGCTTTTGTAGAAATTGGATGTAGGGAATTCTTGGAACTATGTGCCTCTATCGTGTTTCTTTCTCTAAGGTCACCAACATCGGGAACACACAACTGCCCTTGGTACCTCAACGTATTTTCATTCACACCAAGTGAGTTATGTTTGTGTATTCCATCCCTCAACTGTGCCAAGAATGGGACATCATATTGTTTCCCTTTACCTCCACTACAAATGATGAGTCGGCCCTATTCTGCACGAGCACATTGCCCGTAGTAGAGTCTGTGAGTCTAACTCCAAACTAGCCAAATAGTGAATTTCATTGGCCATTGGCCTTTTATATGCTTCCAAATCAGCCAAACTCCCTAAGGATATTTGGCTAAGAGCATCGACCACAACATTGGCCTTTCTAGGACGGTCTATATGTCTATGTCATAGTTCTTGAGTAGCTCAAGCCACCTCCTTTACCTAAAATTTAATTTCTTCTACTTGAAAATATATTGAAGAATCTTGTGATATGTGAATATATCCACGTGGACACCATACAAGTAATGATGCCAAATCTTCAATGCAAATATCGCTGCCACAAGCTCTAAGTCACGAGTTGGAGGTTGCCAAAGGTTTACTTTGGATAGTCGTCATATAGATTTAGAATGGAAGAAAGTGAACGGGTTATTCTAAAAGATTTGTCTATGAATATATTGTGTGAATTGTTAAGGAAGATAAAGTATATGTAGTCACATCAGGCCTTATGAAATCTTTAAGAAAATAGGCCAAACTATGAGTATGATTTTTTCCCCCTATTATTGTCCTCCGTATACCGGCGTGTTTCTATGTGCATGAAGGTGGAGTTAATGAATAATTGGATTATGAGGAGCAACTATTTGCTATCCTTGTTAGATAAGTCCAGAAGTTAAGATTGCCTCCGTCAAGTGCTATGGCGAAACCAACAGGTTGAAGAGGTTACTTGGGAGACCGAGGAAGAAATGAAGAAAAGTATCCTTACTTGTTTGAATAGATATGTATTTACAAAGTTGTGAATTATGGAAATTCTAAAAGTTGCTTTCTATGAGTTATGTATCATTTGTACAATTGGCATAAAGGGTGTTCCCTTTTGGTAATACCATATACTTCTTGCGAGGCAACAATTTGTGTTGTTTTGTATTATGTTACGTCGTTGGATTACGTATTTGTTGTTAGGGTATGTTTTCTGGGCTCTCTGACAGGTGGATAGGTCTAGTTACAAGGGAAACTCTGGAGAAATTTTTGAAAATTTTGCGATTAGTCAAATTTGGGGCTACTCGAACGTGGTATGAAACAAACTGAGTTGCATAAGATGTTAATAACAGGTTTTGACCCTCATTCGAGGACGAATGATCCTAAGCGGGGGAGAATGTAACACCCCGGAAAATTTTGAAGAACATAAGTGTAAAGCCCGGTAAAATTTGCAAAGAAAATAATATTTCATAGTGCCAGATTAGGCTTACGTGTTTGAGGATTATAGAAATTCTTCGCGGCGAGCAAGCTTGCTGCGGCTCGAATCTTTTGGGTTGAACAATGCACGGGAAAGTAAAGAAAAATATTTTGGCGGAACTGTGCATTTCTGCGGTCTATTATGCGATCGAAGAATCACTCTGCGGACCGCATAATGGCCGCAGAGTGACGCAGTTATTTGGGTCTGTTGGAAGCAATTATGCGGTCGACTATGCGACCGCATAACTGTTATGCGGTGTACTATGCGATCGCATAACTATTATGCGGACCGCATAGTGACCGCAAACTCAGGCAGATATTTGGTCATTTTGGACACCAATGATGCGACCGATATGCGGTCCGCATAACCATTATGCGATCGCATATGCGACCGCAGAACCTGTCCGGAGCTTCATTTTTGGATTTTTAAAACCCGACCCTATTTCGTTAAATACATGCAAAAGGTNATGCGACCGCAGAACCTGTTGGGGAACTTTATTTTTGAGTTTTTAAAACCCAACCCTATTTCATTAAATACACGCAAAAGGGTTATTTTTGAGCAAATATTCTGATGTTTTAGAGAGAAGGGAGAGTGTTTTAGAGAGAGAGAAAACCCTAGGCTAATTATTCATCAAGTCTTGCTCAAATCTTGGAAGATTAACAAGGGAAACCCACAAGTTCTTCATCTAAGAGGTAAGGTTCCATACCCTAGTTTTCAATTTCGAATTTAGATAGAAGATGGTTGATTAGGAGTATGATTCATGGGTATGAGAGTATTATTTATATATGCATGTACCAATAAGAATTGTGGGAGGATTGTTGAACTTAAATAAGTAAGGATTGGGTTGTGGAGTGAAGGAAATCTTGTAGAAAACCTTGTGGTTAAATTTGCACACCTAGTGTTTGATAAAATGCTCAAATGAGCTGAGACCATGAATATCTTCTTAATTATTGTTCAATTTTTGTTATGTCTCAAAATAGATTGGGATTGCTAGAATTTCTGAAACGTTGTAGTAATTTAAGGAAAGCTCAACTGAGGTATGTTGGCTAAACTTTCTCTCTTGGAATTGTATTCCATAATGTTACCGTGGGTTTCAAAGAATGGGTTGTGTATTAAAATGTTGTGGCTTTGAATCGTATTTCAAATGAAAGCTAGTATGCCAAATTGTGTGAGAAAATCTCAATATTCTTAAGACTCTTAATTGCTCATACGTGTACCTAAAGTCTTGATTGGGAATGTCTTATTGTTGATAACCTATAAAGATGGTTGGAAGTAAAATCAGTGAATTGGGAATATAAAGTGTAGCCAACGTGCCAATAGTGAAAGGTATACTTGTGGCCAATGGTGCCGATGTAATGAAATAATGTGAGAAAGGTTATGAAATGAACTTTGACTCAACTATTCCAAAATTTACTTCGACAATTAAATCGGCTAAAAGTTTATGAACTCAAGTGATGCCCATATGTGGCTGTTTTAGCTAATGATATGCTTTGTAAGTAATTTTTAATGTGCTTTGCATTCTTACACATTCGTGAGTGGAAATTGTGTATGATTATAATTTGTGCTTCAATTGCCAATCATTTTACTCCATTTATTGGAAAAAAAACGATTATGTTTAAAGCCTTCATTACTAATGAACTTAAAGTTTTGATTTCCGGAATATTCTACTTGTTGATAATTATGATGATGATCTATGAAAGGGAAGAAATGAAAGTATGGAATATAAAATACGGCCATTGTGCCATGAATAAAGAATCATATGTATGGCCAAGAGAGCCAATGAAATAATAATGTTGTAAGTGGTTGAAAGTACGGATTAGGTGATATGTGATGTGAAAGGTTATGAGATATACGTATTTGTACTTTTGTTTCCAATGTGTTATGAAACCCTTTGTACGATCTTTGAAATGCATAGGTATATTGTGTTATAGAACCATATGGACGGTCTTTGAAACGCTTAGGTATATTGTGTTATGAAACCCTATGGACGGTCTATGAAACGCATAGGTATATTGTGTTATGAAACCCTATGGACGGTCTATGAAATACATAGTTATATTATGTTATGAATGCATAAGTATATTGTGTTATGAAATCCTGTGGACGGTCTATGAAATGCATAGGTACATTGTGTTATGAAACCCTGTGGACGGTCTATGAAATGCATAGGTACATTGTGTTATGAAATCCATTGTGATATGAAATCCTGTGGACGGTCTATGAAATGCATAGGTGCATTGTGTATAAGAGGTATAGCTGTACGGTATGAATAAACACTGTGGACGGTCTATGAAACGCACAAGTGCATTATATGATAGGTGAACACTAAGGATAGTCTAATGAGACACATTATTAATGCAGATAATAGGTGCCCCTTTTGTTGTCCTTGTTTGTACAGGTTATTTCAATTACATTATATTATGTGTTCCACGTATAGATCATATGGGCATTCTATTTGGAAAGAGGATTTCTAGCTATACATACTAGTGCTATTCGACAGTACTAACATCCTTTTTGCCGTGGGCGCTGTATCTTTAATGGATGCAGGTGGTTCTACAGCAGGTGGCATTGATCAGTGATAGTAGTGCACTCCTTTCAGCCGATTTGGTGAGCCTCACTTCATTTCGGGGTCATGTATCTTTTGTTTCTCATGTACTTGTGGTTAAGGTATAGCTGGGGGCCTTGTTGTCGGCATTTCCATATTACTCTTCAGTTGTACTTAGAGGCTCCATAGACAGGTCGTGGGTGGTATTTGATGTTGGGAATTGGATTAGAACTGTTGGTATTTGGCAACATATTTTTCATTGAATCTATAAACTCGTACTATTTTGAAAATATTGAATGATGTTGTTAATGGGAATGAAATGGAAGCGGTCAATGAAATTTCTTCAGTATTTGATTAACGGAGTACATCTCCTCTTTATCCACGAATTAAATTTGGGTAGAAGGAATTTAACAGGCTTTCTCGGTCGGGTTCAATCGGTTGAGCGCCGGTCGTGCTCCTCGGTTTTGGGGCGTGACACCTCCGGACGATAGGGATACCAATCCCAAGACGTATCCTTCTTCAAAAGCTCTGTCAGCAGCAAATTAATTGGTGAGTAGTTTCTCACAAACTGGGGATAAAAGTTGCATATTCCAAGGAACAACCTCAGGGCATGGATATCCTTAGGTGGCAGCCAGTCCGTGATAGCCTGGACCTTCTGTTGGTTCATCTTGATTCGTCCCTTCTCAATGACATGACCGAGAAAGTCAATATGCTTTTGAGAAAAGGAGCATTTAGAAAGCTTCAAATACAATTCATGCTCTCTTAGCCGAGCTAGGACAATCCGTAAATGAGCAAGGTGCTCCGCTAAGGTCTTGCTATATACCATAATATCATCTAGTTAGACCAACACAAACTCATCTATGTATTCCCAGAAGACTTGGTTCATCAAAGTGCAAAACATAGTAGGGGGATTCTCCAAACCAAATGCCATGACGAAAAAGTCAAACGACCCATATCGTGTCACATAGGTTGTTTTGTGTTCATCACCCTTGGCAATCCTCACTTGCCAATATCCAATCTTCAGATCAATCTTGGTAAACACAATTGCGCCTCCCTATCTATTGAACTAGCCGTCATCAATGGAATATGGTACTTATTCTTCACAGTAATCTTGTTCAGGGCACGATAGTCAACATAGAGCCTTCAGCTACCGTCATGTTTCTTTTGGAACAAAACTGGCGAACTATAAGGAGACTTCGATGGCACAATATTTCCTAAATAAAGCATTTCTTTCAATGCCTCCAAAGAACTGTGAACTCAGTTTGTGACATTCTATACGGCGCGTGGGCAGGTGGCTTCGCACCCGACTCCAATTCAATCTCATGATCCATAGTCCTTATCGGCGGCAAGCTCTTTGGCATTTCCTACGGCATCATATCTTCATATTCCACCAAGATCTTATGCAGAGTCGTAGGGATGGGATCAGATGAGCGCTCGATGTCTTTAACAAAAAGGGAAGCCAAAAATATGGGCTCCTAGTTCTTGACACCCTTTTTTAGCTTCAAGGCAAAAATGTTCCCATCGGGCATCTTTCCCATTATTGTTGGGATAAAGCAAGGTTTGGCCCCATTTGCTCCGAACATCAGGAGCATATTTGGAAACGGCCATGGGATAGTGTTGATTTCCCTCAAGAATTACAAACCAAGTATTATTTTGATGTCATATTTGGTCACCACAAACAGATTCATCTTCCCCTTATAAAGACCAATTTTCACTGGGACTCCCTTAGCTATCCCTCCAACTGGACGGGCTGGGTATTTGGTTTCCTTGACACAGCTTGGCCTTTTTCCACGTCAAGATTAAGACGCTCCACCTCCCTAGAAGATAAGGAATTATGGATTGCCCCTGTATCCACCATAGCCCGAATAGGTATTCCATTGACCCACATATCAACAAACATCAATTCCTTGATTTTGCTGACACGGGGCTTGACATCCCCTTTCAGCACCTTCTGAACAATAGCAACAATTCCTTTCCTTTTTTGTATACTAGCGCTAGACTTACCTACTTCTTAAGAAATCACATAGAGGGTATAAGAACAGACACCGATTGGTCCATCTTCCTCTTGTTCCTTATCTACCTCTTCCTCTTACTCTACTTCCCCCCCTAGTTTGTTGTATAAGGACCCTTTCCGCGTTAGTTGTTGTATGATGCATCACTGTTGCTTCCAGAGGATGAAGTCCTGGAGTTGTTTAACACTCGATCTCCCTTACTTTTAATAGGACCTCCTCTACTAGGGTGGCCATCTTTTACACCTCTTCCTCGAGAAGGTTTTTGTGGCCTATCCCTTCAGGACTCAACTTGATAATCAACAAGGCACTTTGCCTCTTGTATTGCCTTGGTCACTGTATCCACCCGTTGCCTTTGCAATTCCATAGGGGCATAGGGTTTCAATATTTCTATAAAGGTGAAGAGTTTGTACTTCTCCCCCATGTCTCGAATGCTCAGCATAAGTGCGGAAAACTCATGAAACATAATCCCTCACCGACTTATTCTAGCGCAACTCCCAGAGTCTTCTGCACACGTTGTACTCGACATTCTCAGGGAAGAATTGCAACTGGATTGCCGCCTTCAATTCTTCCCATGCTTGAAGAGTTTCTTCACCAGCCTTAATCGCCTCATATTTTATTCGCCACCATATCTTGGCATTCCCTTACAATACCTAGCAGTAATTGATACTTTCTTTGCTTTCTCTAATTCCCTAACGGCCTCAAAATACTGTTCGACATCAAAAATAAAGTTCTGGACCTCCTTTCGCATTTTGAGAACCATTGTAGGTTTTGATTCAGATATCTTAATCTTGTATCGCATAGGTGCGAGGTTAATCTTTTGGGCTATGTATCAGTACGTTCTTGGCGTAGAATCTCAACTGTGTGCCAATTCATTTTAGAGTCTCGACTCATGTTAGCAATGTCCCCATTGGCCTACTATATCCTGTGGTCCAGGTCATCAAGCCTTTCATCCATACTGGCCCTTAGAAGGGGCACAATATCATTTAGGTATCTCAGTCCTCTAACTGCCTTTTCGAGACTTGCAATGCGGTCAACTATGATCAGCACTAGTATATGTCACAATGTTTTCCCTCTTTTGATAGTAGACATAGGCTCTAAAACCAACTATTATGCTATACCTTTCTGAGTTTCTTGGAAGGGAGATGTAAGTCAAAAAAACTGACTTCCGTGTGATTAATTTCCGTCAGTCGAAGACCCCATCCGCATGCTAGACTAGACTGTCGTGTTGTGCGGGAAAGCCAATGTTAACGTCACAATTTGCAATGAGAGAATTGAATGAAAGATTTCTTGTAGTAACAGAGAACAATGATTACAAGAAAGTCAACATGGTGCAGGG